TTTGAACATTTGATCGCATGTTATGGAGTGAGTATTGAGTAAAGAAGGAATGGAGGAATGGGTGGGAATTGGACTTAAATAAGACGAGAAAAAGGAAATCTTTAGCTGAGTTTCTATTCAACGAAAATGCACTTCCATTGCGAGCATAGATTCCATTATAAGTCACTCTATGGATAAACAAGTGTCTGTGCTTTGACTGCCTGTGCTCTGCTCTGCTCTCTCTTTGCAACTATTCATTTGAATAAAGAATTGCAGTGCAGGTACTGTAGTAGTGGTCGTCCTAGTCGTGCACCTTAGCCGCGGCCTTAGCCTTAGCCTTAGTTCCCATCTAAAGGTCCCCAAAATGTAAGCAAACCTAAGCAACCCATTCATGTTTTTCCACTCTAAGCTCTGTTAGCTCTGGGAATGTCTACACATAAAGAATCCAATATTCGCTCACATTTTGTTTGCACATAAAAAACTATATATTTTTATAGTATTTTATATACCTTTTTATATTATTCTGAGTTATAGCTTAAATTCTGTTTATTAATATTGGTATTATTCATACATTATTTGCCGAAATTGTCAAATAACCAATTTATATTATAATAATGTTATATTTTTCAAATTTATAATAATTATAACTTGGTAATTAAAGATCTTGTTATTTAGTAGCGTTTAATTAGAAATAATTGAATACGCAGGGTGAAATTTACTTGAAAACATTGTGAGTGAGATTGGTTTGTGTGTGCAATATTTGGACCTGCTCAAAAAAAGTAGTTGTAAAAAATCTCAATAACCTCCAAAAATCTCTTGTGACAAAAGGACAAAATAGTATTGTGTTGTCCCATATCGGGGAACCGTATTTACAGAGCATAGGCTCAGCGCTCATAGATATGAAAAGGCATTGAAGATGTGTACCGAAGAGAGAGAGAGAGAGAGAGAGAGAGAGAGAGGACAGAAGACGCCCAAATGCACAGAACTTGCCCTTCCATTCGGACTGCAGTGAAACGGCTTATTATTTAAACCAAATAATGCCATAACTTCCATAACTTATGGATTATTTATAATAGAAAAAGTTGTGCTTTCAATACAATCTTTAATATTACTTTAAAATAGGAAATCATTACAATTTCTTACATTTCTTGTATGTTGTTATGATTTTTTGTATTCAAAAACAAATTTTTTGTTCATATTTTTTGTCAACATTTATATATTAGTAAATGTTGTGCCAATTATTGAAACCATATATTTATCAATTCCGTGATAATAAATACTAATTTAACATTAGATTGACTGTATATCAGATGAATATTCTTTAAATATGTTCTTTCACTTTAAAAAAAATCATTGCTTTGCGTTTACTCATCAAATTTCACTACACATTTGCGGAGAGAGAGAGAGAGAGAGAGAGAGTAAATTCAATAATGATATAAATATTTAGGCAAAAAGTTAGTCGACTTTCGGATTACAGAATACGTCTAATGAATGAAATAATAAAAGCCATGAAATTAATCAAAATGTACGCCTGGGAGCAGCCCTTCGCCCGGGCTATTGGTCGCGCCCGAAGGTATCAAAACATTATTTAACTAAACTACTAATAAACTCACAATTTGTTGTTTTAAATTTTTAAAGCCAAGAGATGAATGAGATTAAAAACCTGTTACATATAAAAGCAATGAGTTCTTGCCTTTGTATTTTTGGTTCAAAATTTGTTTATTTCGTTGTTATAATAGTTTACATACTATTAGGCTGTCAGGTGTCGGCTGAGCCCATATTTATAACCATAATGATATTCAATAATCTGAGCTATACATATCTTGGTATTATTCCCATCACTTTTGGATATCTAGCAGAGGTGTGGGTGTCGTGTAAAAGGTTTCAGGTATTTATATAATTTATATAAAACATCAATTATAAACAGTAATAATTAAGAGATACTGTAATTAATTTAGAGTTTCTTACTATTGGAAGAAATCAATATCAGAATAATAAACAAAAATGATGTTTGCGATGAAAATACACAATTAGTTATTAATGAAAATAATCAAATCAATTATATCCAAAATAATACGAATTACAATAATAGCGATGAAATAATAGACAATTATAATGTAATTGTTAGTGAAATGTCAGCCAATTGGAAATCAGTGAGTTTTTTGTATCACAATTTACTTTATGTTAATTTTAAAATAATTTAAATAATGTGTTAGGAATTGACAGAACCGACAATAAAACAAATCTCAATGAATGCAAAATCCGGAGATCTAGTTGTGGTTATCGGACCCGTAGGCGCCGGAAAGGTATGTTATTATCATTATTATAATTATTACATCAATACAGTAATTGTACTAAATATTGCAATTCAGACCACATTTTTGATGTCACTGTTGAATGAGTTGTCCATAACTGGAGGTTCGGTCGCAACGAACGGATCCATAGGTTATGTATCGCAGGAGTCGTGGGTTTTCAACGCAAGTGTTTTACAGAATATTCTGTTCGGAAAACAATTCAATGAAAAGCGGTTTCGAGAAGTGATAGCCGTTTGTGCGTTGGATAAGGATTTAGATTCCCTTCCCTTCAGAGACAACACTATTGTCGGCGAAAGAGGAGTCCTTTTGAGATGTTCGGAAAACAATACAATGAAAAGCGGTTTCGAGAAGTGATAGCCGTTTGTGCGTTGGATAAGGATTTAGATTCCCTTCCCTTCAGAGACAACACTATTGTCGGCGAAAGAGGAGTCCTTTTGAGTGGCGGACAGAAGGCCAGAGTGGCGTTAGCCCGGTATGGCTCACACCACACACTCTTACCCACAACTCATGACAACAACTCATGTAATGTCTGTTTCGTGTCTTTTAGAGCCCTTTATAGCGATGAAGACATCTATCTATTGGACGATCCGTTGAGTGCTGTCGACACTGAAGTCGCGAATCATATCTTTGAAAAGTTTGTTACCATTTATTAAACATTGATTTCAATGATTGTGTGTTTTGTGTGTTTCAGATGTGTTTGTGATTATCTTCGGAGCAAAACAGTGGTATTAATCACACATCAAATCCAATTCATACAAAAAGCCACAAAAATTCTTGTGTTAAACAAAGACGGCGTAAGTCTTGGCTTTGGATCGTATGAAGAGTTACTCGAAGTGGACATCGATTTCATGTCTTTGGTTTGCGATAATCGCTATAATTATGACAACAAACAAAGTCCTGATATTAATAACGAAGAATCCATTGACAACAAACTGATCCAAAGACAGATTTCTTATAAAAGCAATGTATATATTTGATGATTGTTTTAATATTATTAATAATGAATACATAAACTATTTATTAATTAAAGACTAAACCAGAAGTAAAGGAGCAGTTTATACCAGAAGACTATTCGGCCAAAGGGTCGGTAAATATGCGGGTGTATTGGTATTACATGAGGGCGGGTGCGGGACCTTTACTCTTGTTGGCCATCATATTATCGGCTATAGTTTCGCAGACAATCACTAGTTATAGCGATATATATGTTTCTCAATGGTATTGAATTATAAAAGATTAAACATTAATAACAATTAAACGTTTGTAACAAATAATAGGACTAAAAACGAGACCAACATTAATGCCACCGAAGGTTATATTGCGAGTCAAATGAACGGAATTATAATTTATTCATCGATAATAATCTTGATATTTGTGACACTTGTGGTCCGGTGTCTGACATTCTTCCGGTTCGCAGTCAACGCGTCAACCAATTTACACAATACTATATTCAGTCGCCTAATGACAGCACCCATTGCTTTCTTTGACATCAATCCTATCGGTATTTTTGTCAATACATTTCAATAATGTTATACTGTATTATTGAAATGACATTTACGTAAAGATAACATTTATCAATTTAATAAAATTATTATTATTACAAACTTTTAGGCAGAATTTTAAATAGATTTACAAAGGATTTGGTTATTGTAGACGAACCGCTGCCCGGATGTGTCTTTGAAATTAGTTTAGTATGTATTTTACCCAATTTTAAAAGTTTAATTACATATAGTTAAACTACATGTAGTTTACTATACTATACATGTATATCTATTTATTAAAATTTACTAATAGTTAATTTATTATAATCTTTTTAGGATTTGTTGTCAATAATCGCATCATTAATAGTGATATCAATAGTAAACATGTATTCATTAATTCCTGCGATTCTCATGTTTTTCATCATTTCATACATTCGTTCGCTTTATATAAAGACTGCGAGAGATGTCAAGCGATTTGAAAATCAATGAGCTGCACCTCTGCTAACACTTCCCACAGTCTGTCGTCCGAGTAATCACTAAATGGATCCAAATTATGACGAATGGATCCAATGAATGCAATCGCCTCTTGAGGTATGATTGATATGTTTCGTCTCAAGTCGTGAAGAGGTATACACTTAGTGTCGACGCCATCGATGGTAACGCTTCCAGTGATTTGATGCATACGGAAGAGTACGGCCAGTAATGAGCTCTTCCCGGCACCCGTTCGGCCGACTATACCAACCCTTTCCCCGCCTTTGAACTCACAATTGATGTCAACGAGTGTCGGATCCGTCGCGTTGTCGTACTTCAGACTCACGTGATTGAGACAAATGCGACCCTCAAGTGGCCAATCGGGTGCCGGCGGTCGACAATTATCCGCAGTTTCAGACACTTCAGACTCGAGATGACTGTAGTCGAGGATCCGCTCCACAGAAGTCATGTATGTCTCCAAATCAGCTGATCTTCTGACCATTATTTGAAGATACCATGACATATTGATAGCTATAAACAACAATAGTCCAGCGGTTCCGCCACTTATATCTTTAAATAGTATTTTATTGTAATAAATATATTAAAGAATTGAAGCAATAATTGTATTAAACATACCGTCAGTGAAAAGCATAAGAAATATAACGACAAATGTTTCGTAGAATATGTATATCAACTCCAATACAAGTCCTTTCATTAAATTTGTAATTATTTTCAATTTTAATAATGTTATTGAGTTGTGTTATACCGAGAGCTCTATTGGCGGCAATATTAGTGAAATAACAAGTCGTGTGATTGTCTTGAAGGCGATTAAAGTCATTAGTAAAGTGTTTCTCAGCTCTTAGAGCCCTAATAGTGACCAAACCATTGATAGTTGTGCTCAAGTGGTCTATCACTGGTGTCCGCACTGTTTGGCAGTAAATATCATTAGAAATAATATNTGGTGTCCGCACTGTTTGGCAGTAAATATCATTAGAAATAATATTGATTTTAATGACAATTAACTATACATTGATTTTCAAATCGCTTGACATCTCTCGCAGTATTCATATAAAGCGAACGAATGTACGAAACAATAAAAAACATGAGAATCGCAGGAATTAATGAATACATGTTTACTATTGATATCACTATTAATGATGCCGTTATTGATAACAACTCCTAATTTGAAATCATTTTTAATTTTAGACTCAATTCTGTAAAATACTTACGAAATGAAAGTAAAACAAACAACCGGACAATTGATTGTCTATAATAACCAAATCTTTTGTAAATCTATTTAAAATTCTTCCTAAAATGTATAATTTAATTTCAGATTAACTTAATTAAAATTTTAAAGTGTACAAGTACAGTTTTATAATAAATATATATTATATAATATAATTAATATACAAAAATACCGATAGGATTGATGTCAAAGAAAGCAATGGGAGCTGTCATTAGGCGACTGAATATAGTATTGTGTAAATTGATTGACGCGTTGACTGACATTCGGAAGAATGTCACGGATCTGATGACAAATGTCACGAATATTAAAGTTATTATCGATGAATAAATTAATATTCCTGTGCTTTGGTTCTCAATATTTGTTTCAAAAGTAACGTTAGAATTGGTCTCGTTTTTAGTCCTATTATTTGAATGTAAATTGTAACAAAATTATTAATTAAAACATAAGTTTATTTAAATATTTAATTAATTTTAAATTCAATACCATTGAGAAAGATATATATCGCTATAACTGGTAATAATTTGCGAAACAATAGCTGACAAAACGATGACAAACAATAGTGTCGGTCCCGCACCAGACCTTATATAATGCCAATACATCCGCATATCTATCGATCCTTTGGCCATATGTTCTTCAGGTATGAATTGATCCCTAATTTCCGATTTATCCTTTAAAACAATTTAATAATTCATATATTATTATAAAGCAATTTACAAAAATTACAAGCATTACATCAAATCAAACAATAAAATTAATTCATTTTCTAAATGCATTGATTTATTTTTAAATTCAATGTAATGTTTGGTTTAACTCAAATGTTAAAATATCATACTTCAGTTGTGTATGGAATCTGTCTTTGGATCAGTTTGTTGTCAATGGATTCTTCGTTATGAATGTTAGGACTTTGTTTGTTGTCATAATTATAGCGATTATCGCAAACCAAAGACATGAAATCGATGTCCACTTCGAGTAACTCTTCATACGATCCAAAGCCAAGACTTACGCCGTCTTTGTTTAACACAAGAATTTTTGTGGCTTTTTGTATGAATTGGATTTGATGTGTGATTAATACCACTGTTTTGCTCCGAAGATAA